CCTGCTAGTCACAGGCTGGGTCCTGACCCTGCGGTCCCAGCCACTCCTGCATCCCACTCTCTAGCCTCCATCTTTCCGTCTCGCCTTCAGACTTAACGTCCAGCCACATCCTTCCTAGTCAACCACGCCTTCCCTTCACCCCTGCTGTGGGTTCCCTTTGTCTCAGTTACATCAAATCACCCCGTTTAAACATCCCCTCTGGATCACCTTCATCTTGAGAACACCTCTGTTGGCTCCATCGACAAACTTTCCTTGAATCCATGGTAAGATTTTTTTTATTAACTGATAATAATAACAGCTACATTTTATTTTCCCAGGTATGTGTGAAACACTGTGCTAAAGGCTTCACCATCATGCTCCCAAAAACCCCAGCAACTGTAGGCAGAAGAGATTATTAGCCCCATTACAGTAAAAGGAAATCGAAGGCTCAGGGGTTGAAGGGTTTGCCCTGGCACATGTGGCTCTAAAGTGGACGAGTAGGGTTTTAAAGTGACTATCTGAGTCTATGTCCTTCTGCTGGAGGACCTGCCCCCTTAATAACCAGATTCCTCAATCTAAACATTTTTCCACTTTCAGTGAAGTTAAAGGAGAACAATGGGAAGATACCACAAGGACTTTTTCCTTTTGTGTTTTAGAACAGCCGAGGGATGCCCTGGCCTCAGGGCATCATTAGAGGATTACTTATAATTTATACTCTTCTCTTTTTGGTAATGACCAAGACTCTGTGGCCTTTAGATTCATACTGAGCACGAGGGCCTAACCTCCCCAACTGTACCCACATCTGCACAGAAGCAGCTTCCTTGTGTCCTGCACCCAGTTCCATGAGCAGATCTGACGCTCTGTTCCAATTGTAGTCACCTGTTCAGGTGCCTGTCCATTCTGTAATGCTAGGATCTTTCTAGAATGCCCAGGGGAAGGATTGCTCCTAACTGAGGTGAGCTCAAAGCCTGTCACAGTCTGTCCTAGGAGATAAGCAGTTAACTCAGATAAGACAAACCATCAGTTTTCTGGAGAAACCTTCCCCAAATCACCTTTTTAAAAAGTATTGAAAAAAGAAAACACAATGGTACGCAGGTTACGCCTCCATTTCACATAGAGGATTATTATTTTTTTTTATTCACAGAATCTAATCATGAATATCTAGCTTGGAAAAGCCAATAAGAAATTGTTTTGCATCTAGAGAAGCAGTATCTAAATCATCTATATAATTGAAACATGTTTCCATATAATGTGGCTACCAGAGAACGGATTTATTTAAAAAGAGAAGAAAAATGTATAATTCCGTCCCTTAATTTATGAGACAACATCTCGTGTTTGAACAGCGTTGGTTTTACGTCATCTAAGTGCTTTGATTTCACCTGGCTGTGCCTTTGAAACCAAATCGATCTGCTCTCTATGGCACAACATGGTCTCCAAACCTGGCCCGCAGCTGCTTCTCTTCTGATCTTGGCCCATTCCTGCCATCCGCCACACCAGATTGCTCATTATCCCATAAATGCCCCTGCTCTGTTTGGGTCCCAGTGATATTGGTCAGTGTGATACCTCTGCCAAGGTTATCCTTCCCTACCTTTATGGGTCCATCCAGAAGTTGGTCCTTCCCAACTCCTCTCGTCCTTCCAGATCTCTTTTCAGAAGCCCTTCCTCAACAAAGCCATAGGGCTGCTGGCATGGGCAGTGCTGGATGGTCCCACTGCTCCATCTGATGGTCATCTCATTTTCCACCTCTACTGTATTCATGTGACACTTCTGTCTCCCTCAGAAGACTGGAAGCTCCTCCAGGGCATGAAGGCAGCCTCTTCTCCTCAAGGAGGTGTCCCCTGGGACCAGCGTGGAGCAGAATGCTGCTAAGTAAACAACTCTATGCATAAAAAGCACTGCTTATTCTAGCTAACGGTCATTGAGAGCTTACTATGTGTCCGTAGCATTCTAGGCATTCCCTTGCATAATCCATTCAGTCTCTACCACAAATCTATGAGGTAGGTACTCTTACCATCCGCATTTTACAGGTGAGGGAATGGAAAAACAACCTGGTTAAATAACTTCTCTAAATCCATGCAACTGATAAGTGTCAGAAGTAGGGTTTGAACCTAGAAAGTCCAGAGACTGCGGCCTTCCCACTACTGAATTCTGCATCTCTAGACACAGCAAGCCTTTTCTATTTCTGTTTCAGAGATAAATGGAACAAAAAATCCAAGTTAAATAATTTGTCCTAACAAGACCACTCAACTAACGAGTGTCGAAGATATTATTAGATCCCAAATGTTTTGACTCCTTCTTTTTCAAGGTATCATATTTCATTGTCTAAACATATATTTTTTTTCCTTTTTTATTTTTTACTCAGAAATACATGCAGGTAATTGAAACTACTCTGGGTGATTGTATGCAAATATTGTATGCAAATATGACTGCTAAAAGTTCCTCTCGTTGCTGTACACACAGAGGGTGCCCCATGAAGGAGTCTATGATATTTTCCCTCCCATTGAAGCTGGGTTGGCCTTGCCACTGGCCTTGATGAATGGAATATGGGAGAAGTGACCCTGTGCCAGTTCCTGAGCTGGCCCTTAAGAAGCCTGGAAACTTTTACTCTTTCTCTCTGTGAGCTGGGCTACCATGTAAGAAGTCGCACTACCCAACTGGAGACAGAAGCTCAGCAGTCCCCTTCGCTGGTCCAGCCACCCTAGCTGAGGGATCAGACATATGAGTGAAGACATCTCTGATACAATGATCTTGGATACTCCATCCTCCACTGAGATCTAGCTGAAAGCAGCAGGCGAATGACCCAACCAAGCCCAGACTACTCAAAATATCACAAATAAATTGTATAAGCCACGAAGTTTCGGAACACTTTGTAATGCAACAATATCTAACTGAAAGTAACATAATTGGAAAATTCACCTCGAGGAAGAAATCACAAATGCTATGTATTCCTCACCCTTGGAGCCATCTTCTTGTAATTATTACTGGCCTCTGTGTTAGCATTCTGTTCCAAATATCATGCTCGAGTAAAAATCAAGGGCACAACACTTGCACCACAATTATCCCTGTGCCAAACTAGACCAAAGAAGAAAATAGCTTTTTTCCCCCAAAATTGCATTTCATTTTTCTTTTTCTTGTCTTGTACAGCATCACTACAAGTCCTTCTCTTCCCAAGGTGATTGCTGGGCTCTGCCAGCTATTGGATGCCTGGCAGTCCTCTGTCCTCACAGCAGAGGCCTGTGCTCCCAGAGAAGGCTCAGCCAGAGACAGGAACTGAGCTCACGCTCTATAGTCACAGGGGAGAAGCTGAGTCCTTGTCAGGAACCTGGGGATGGCTTTCTTTAGGTCAGCTGGGCATTAGTCCCACCTGATTTCCAGGTCCCACCGCAGGCTTTTGACTTGTCCCCGAGAACAAGACCCACTGGCTTCACACCCCTGGTCATCTGACCACTCAGTCGTCAGACTGACTGGGTACTTGCTTTGTGCCAGTCCCTGTCCTGGCACATTTACATTTCTGATCTCTATAAAATATAAAACGTCCTTTTCATTTATAATCTCTCAGACGAGAAATCTACAGAAAATGGATTTTTACACTCGGTTTTCAGGGGAGGAAATGAAGCTCAAGCTGCCAATGCCTGGGATCACGCAGCTAGTTCTTGCAATGTCAGGGTTCAAATTCTCTACTCATTTGGTCACCTCTGTGAACCTTCTCCTGGAAGAAGTTGGGGCGGGGAGGGGGGGCGACACAGGCAGAAGCAAAGGGAAACTGGATCTACACAGGGCGTAGGAGAGCAGGTGATCACAAGTCTCAGACGCCTCATTGCTTCCCCGGAGAGAGGAGGAGAGTGGAAGAGAAGAAACACTTTGGAAATGTGGTGACTGAACTATTATTTAACACTTAACTCTGCCCAGAGTCAGAGAGAAGCAGGTGGTCAGCAGTATCTTTCTCTTTTTCGATCACATGCTCGAGTCAACCTGTGGCCATAAACCATCAGCCTCCCCTTGATGTCCCCTGAGTGGTCTGAGCAGCCTCCTCCACCCCACACCTCCCACGCCTCCTCCACATGGAGCTAAGCAGACCACCGCATCTACACTCCCAATTTGTGGGTATTCAACTGCATGCAGTTTTACTCACTATAATATTATTACCAATAACAAAGTGGTCTAATTACCAAGGCAATTCTAAATGAATTTTATCAAAGGTGGCTGTGACCAGAACTCTCAACTCTACTGGATTTTACTCCTCTTATATTCTTGGGTACCTTTCTTTGTATAGTTAAAGTTAAGCAGGTATTCCATAGTTCTGTCTTTTTGTCTCCTTATTTTCTCTCTCCTCCATCACTAAGTGCTTCTCCTTTTTCTTAGGGTCTAGCTGATCTATACACTCTCCCAAATTTACTAATGTAAATATTACTACTAGAATATAATCTCCATGCCTACTCTTATTTCTTATGTAATAAATTTTACATTTCTGACTCAGTACTTTGTTACACTGAGTACCTGCTGGGACCCTGGATACCCACTAATACTCCAGCCTCCTCAGATTACAGCCTGAATTGTCCTTGGTAATCCTTCTCCCCAAGCTGGGAGTGTTGCTTGTGACTCCTTGGCATGCATGGAAAGTGCTACCACAACTGCCTACTTATTCAGACCCCTATATCTAGCTGATTTGGGGATTCTCTTTGACAGCAGGCTTGCTTTTACCTACTTGCTGGACACTATTTCCCATCCTCTGCCTCCCTGACTGGACTTTAGCCAATCTCCCACAGCCAGGTTTGTCCCCAAGTGCCAGCTGCTCCTGGGAAAGTATGTTTTCCTTCAGCCAGTTTCCCCTTGCAACAATGTACACACATGGCCACTCCAACAGTGGGTCTCCATTTCCAACATTCACTCCTCCTCCAACGTTCAACTATGATTCACTGAGTGCCTCTATGTACCTTGCACTCTGCTGTGCCCTGGCATACAGTGATAAATGAAGGTTTACCAGTGGGGAAGAAGCCCCCCACTGCCATCCTCCTGCTCACCTGTCTGCCCAACGATGGAAGCGCTCAATCTGTGGGGGATCCTTGAGGACACCTTCAAGGTCACTCGGATCTGGTAATACCTAAGAAAAGAGCAGAGGACAGGCTGCTGAAGATCAGACTTCTTATTGTTTGCTTTTTCTAAAAATACCTAGACTTAATCCTAAAGGTCATAGGGAACCATGAAAGTTTCTAGGCATGAATGATCAACTGCTATCAAAGAGAGATTCATTCTGTCAGCACAGTAGGGGAGGGATGGGATGGGGCCAAGCTGGAGACAAAAAGTTGAGTTCACTTGAGATCATACTAGACACATACAAGGTTGGTGGTGATGGGAATGGGAAAAAGGAATAGATAGGTCACATGACACAGGTACATTAAGAAGTATGATTTTTCTTTCATCAGAAAAGTTCATTTTATAGGATCTTTAATGCATGGTAGAAAATCTGCACATGAATTGAGTTGCTATTACGTTGTGACACAGACAAATACTTCCTTTAGAAAGACAGCAGCTGAGTTGCTAATCCCATAAGTATTGCCAAACACTTTTCTCAGATTATTTCTGTGCCTTTATTTGGAATATGTCATCCCCATTTCCAAATTCCGTCATTTCAGAACATCATGCAGGTTCCCAAGCTGTCATTAAACCTCTGATCTGTCCTCTTTTGCTACAGGTGCAGAAGCATCTTTTGAAGTTTTGTGCCTTGCAATTAATGACCCTTTTGTTTGCAAGCACTTGGGAACATTTCTGGCCTCATAATTGTTCTCCCTTTCCACTTATTTCAAACTCATTGTGAAATGGAATGTGAATAAAACAGTGAAACAGAAGTAAAATAGACCATGAACATATCAGTCTCCCATGGCTCACTGAGCTCACGGCTGAGGAATATTCTGCTATTGACTCTGTTGCACTCTGAATATACTCATAGAGTGTTTCTGTTGACAGCCTCGTGTTCGTGTATACGTTGAACTGAGGAGAGCACTGGGACTGCATTCATGTTGCTTGAGTGACATCATTTGAGAGCTGTGTGTCTTTGAGTACATCACACAACTTCTCTGAACTTGTTTTTGTATCTGTAAAATGAAGATTTAAAAAAAAAAATAGTAACTGTCATGACTTCTACATCCAGGAAAGATGGAGTAGACATACTTTTCCCTATTCTTCCCACTAAGTACAACTAAAAACTTGAAACAATATATATAAAACAAACAAGAAAATTCTTAAAAGTTGAGAACAAAGCCAACAGTCTAGGGACCTCAAGTCCAAGGAAAGCCATAATAGTGAGTTCTCAGCATTTTCTTTTTGCCTCATATATCCCAGACAGAAGCCAACCACCCAGAAATGCTAATGGCTGCAGACAAAAACAAACCCTAACAAAAACACCTGCTTTCTCTAGACAAACATCAGGCAAAGGGCAGCCTAGCATGATCAAAAAAATTTAGACAATAGTAGTTCTACTCCACCAAGCAATACAGAATACAGAAAAACTGTGGCCTCTCCTCTACCCACACCAGCAAAGGCCAAGTGAAACCCCAGATGTCCACATTGCCAAGCTATAATGAGCCTCCTTCTCTCACCTGGCAAGAAAAGGCCTTGAGTAGGAAGCCAGATTTTCACTGCTAAGGGATGGTGATGAGAACCCCGCTGAGGGGAGCCTGGATCTCTACTTCCCCAAGCAGTAACAAGGGCAGAAATATACCCAAGTGATTTTCAACAAAGTTTCAAAAGCAATTCAGTGGAGGAAAGATAGCCTTTCCAATAATGGTCCTGAAGCAACTGGACATCCATGAGCAAAAACAAAACAAAACAGAAAACTCAAATTAAATCTCATACCTTATATGAAAATTAACTCAAAGTGGATCATAGACTCAAAGGCAAAATGTAAAACTGCAAAAATTTTTAGGAAAAAATAGAAGAAAGCTTTGAAATCTAGAGCTAAGCAAAGAGTCTTAGACTTGACACCAAAAGCATTATCCTTTTAAAAAAACGATAAATTTGACTTTAGCAAAATTAAAAGCTTTTGTTCTTTCGCTCTGCAAAATGCACTATTTAGAGGATTAAAAGACAATCTACTGGGTGAGAGAACATATTTGCAAATCACATACGGCTGATCCTCATTATTTATGGATTCTGCGTCTGTGAATTTTCCCAGTTGGTAAAATTTATTTGTAACCACCTGCAATACTCATAATGCCTTCAGGGTCATTCACAGACATGCACACAGTGGCGAAGAGTTTGAATCACCTCATGCACGTGTTTCCACTTGAGGTCGAACAAGACAGCACTCTACCTTCTTTTTTCAGCTCTCATACTATAAACAAGGGTCTTTTTGCAGTCTGTCTAGTGCAATATATTTTGTGTTTTTTGTTGGTGATTCTGCTATTTAAAATGGCCCCAGTGTATAGCTAAAATGCTGGCTTGTGTTCCTAAATGCAAGAAGGCTGTGATGTGCCCTACAGAGAAAATCATGTGTTAGATAAGCTTTGTTCAGATATGAGTTACATGCTATTGGTCATGAGCTCAATGTTAATGAATAGAATATATATATACACACACACACACACACACACATATATATACATATATATACATATATATGTATATATATATAATGCAGTGCCTTTAAACAGAAATGCACCTAAAACAAGGTTATGTATTGATCAGTCAATGAAAATGTTGTGACTGGAGGCTCCCAGGAAGCTAACCGTGTATTTTCCGTAGGAGCAATAGCTCGTTATACGAACACAGTTTTCTACCATCGTGAAATCCACAAAAGAAGCACAATAATAAATAACCACGAACACCATCATCTGTGTGACAGAGACTGAGGCAGAGTGGAGGCTCCCTGCCCTTTCTATAGGACGCAGCTGCCACTTAGCAGTAGTTAGTTACCACTGTGCGGAGATGTTGGCTGTGTAATGCTAGATCTTTCGGGTTTTCAGGGAAAGACAGAAGTTTGGATTTTTCTTTTTTGAGGAAGATTAGCCCTTGAGCTAACATCCACACCCATCTTCTTCTAGTTTATATGCAGGAGGCTTGCCACAGCATGGCTTGATAAGTTGCACAGGATCCGAACTGGCAAACCCTGGGCCACCAAAGCTTAGCTTGCTAACTTAGCCACTATGCCACTGAGCCAGCCCCAGAAATTTGGATTTTTAATAAAAGATCTTTAAAATTTCAAATGTCAGTTCATAAGTCAGTGACAATGACAATAGCAACAGCAAAAACAATTAGCAGCTGCGAACAATAAAGCACTGTGTTGACAGAATGAAACACATTTGCAAGCTGAATCCCCACAGGGCCAATAACTGGCAAACTCTGATTTACACAAATACAAGATGTCACTTTTAGTGTTTCTTTAATAAATGACCTATGCATTTCAATAATTTCATCATCAAAGGAAGAAGCACAGATCCCACCACCACCACCAGCAGCTGTAATATTCTAAGGGCTTCTTCTCTGAACATGAAATGGGTCAATCATTGCCCGAGGCTATGCATCACTCTTCTACCATACTGTGCTTGGAGCTGTGACAGTTATGCTTAAGATTTATTAAACATCACTGTGCCAGGACCGGTATAAGGAACTTCCATGTACGCGATCCTGTTTGATCCTCCATAAATCCTGTGTGAGAGAAAGCACGGTCTCAAGTGTTAACCAAAGAAGATATCGGGCCATTGGAGACGGAGGTAGCTAACTACTTGTCTAAAGTAGTTAAGCTAGCAAAGGGCAACCAGGATTCTAACTCCAGAAATGAATTTCTTCCCTTTTTCTTTTGTTTGCCTGCTACACCTCACAAGAGTCGCATTTGTTCCATAAATTAAAACCCTTTACAACCAATTCCAAGGACTCTCTGAATTCTTATTCCTTAGAAGCACTTGGTGCTACTGAATCTTACTTCAAGGAATTAATCACCTTGAACTTCAGGTGCTTTACAGGCACATGTTGAAAGAAATAAGTTCCAATTAGGCTGACTCAATTGGGCTCTGTCCTGATTAAACAGAATACTTAAACCACTCTCGTAATTCTCTTTTGTCTGATACGAAGTTTCTGCCTGGCCATAAGTCCATAAACCATACGTCATACACAACATACGTCATATCATTTGATCCCTTCAGGAAATCTTTGATGCACTTATCATGATGTCTATGTTAAAGGTGAGAAAACTAGCCTCTAGAGATGATGGGAGTTGTCCAAATTCACATATTCAGTAAGAAATCTTGGCAAATCTCCAAGAATGACCTTATTATTTCACATGTGACTATCCTTTAATCATCTTAGAGCCACCTTCTTCCAGCTGGGGTCATTCAAGGAAGACACTGTGAAGAAGGGATCATTTGACTCAAATCCTTAGAGAATGAGCAAGTGACAGGAGAAGATGGCAGAATGAGTTCCAGGCAGAAGGAAGAGAGAAGCTAAGACCAGGAGTAATCGAGACTTCAGAGTTGTCTAGATTTGCACAGGACTCCTTTTGGGAAATAACAATAAAAATAATCATCCTCTATTGACTTCCATCTGTAAGAGTGGCACTGAACTATGCCCTTTATACAATGTGGTGGGCAGAATAACACCCTTTCCAAACGACATTTCTTCCTCATCTTCAGAACTTGTGAAAAAGAATTAAGGTTGCTAATCAGCTGGCCTTGAAATCAAGAGATTATTCTGGATCACCTGGGTATGCCCAAAGTAATCAAAAAGGTCCTTCTAAATGAAAGAAGGAGACAGCAGAAGGAGAGTGACAGAGTAATGAAGGGTAAGAAAGACTCTACCAGCCATTGCTGGCTTTGAAGAGGAATGGAGTCACCAGCCAAGGAAGGTGGGTGGCCTACAGAAACTGGTAAGCACAAGGAAATGGCTTCCTCCCCAGAGCCTCCACAAAGATATGTAATCCTGCCAACATCGTGATTTTAGCCCAGTGAGACCCATTTGAGACTTCTGACCTCCGGAATTGTTAAGATAATAAAATTATGTTGTTTTAAGCAACTAAGTTTGTGGCAATTTATTACAGTGGTAAAAGTAAATTAATGCACAGAGGCTTTCAAATTTCCTCCTCATGACAAAACTAATAGACAGGAATAATCA